ACCAAGCATTGTTGTACCGAGTGGTTAGGTTTTTTTTTTTTTTTTTTTTTTTTTTTTTTTTTTTTAATTTTAAGAGGCGGACGCCTCTAAAATATGTGGCGAGGCGCGCCTCAGTGAACTTGAGGCATACGCCTAAATGCCAGCTCTCATTGCGTAGGCTTTGAAGTTTAAAATTTTAAAATTGCGCTGAGGCGTGCCTCTTATTGCGCAATTTTAAACACTCTCGTGGACTAACCCATGATTCAACAAATTAAATCATCCTCTACACAAATTGTTCAATGGGGCCACCATATTCATTTTATTTAGTTGTACTAAGTTGTCAATTTTATAGCGTTGCTTATGAAATGTTAAAGGCCATCATGCGGGCACATAATACCTACAATATGAAATTCTTTTAAGACTTAGCTTCTCTCTTTCTCTCTCATGACTTCGTGTGATTCATCGATCTCTCAAGCAATGTCTATTATTTTCCATCATGAAATTTTATATCTAATATTCTTTTTGATGTGATAAATATTAGCAGTAATCGATCAACAGCGGTACAACAACTCTTGACATCCTATGAACTCTCTCTCTACTCATCAAATAATCTACACTGTTCATCCAAACATTTACTTAATCTATGCCCAAACTAAATAAATTGTGCACCGTTGTCACAAATTATTGTCAAATTAGCTTATAGATATGTCTATTGTATTTAATATAAGTAGGAAAATACAATATTACTTTTACAGATCATTTAATCTTCTTTGCTTTCTCTTGTTCCTTTATGTAGTTATGGTTCTCTCTTTCTACATGGTATCAGAGATTCTAGTCCCACAACATTAAGCCGCATCATTCCTCAACAGGAGCATAGGCCTCTCCTCATCCATCTCTAATCTCACTGATTTTCCCTCTACCTTCATTCTCTTACTATTACTTTAACTTTTATTCTTACTCCATTTAACCCCTGCAATATACTCATGGAATGTGCTATATCATCCACCATAAAAAATGTTGCTAGCACTACCATTTGACTCGACACGATCACTATCCCACCTCAGCTATAATTCTTGATGTCTAACATCAAGAATACCATCAACATTTAAGCCAGCACAGGCAATCATTATACATGGTGCTCTCAAGTTGATGGGAACTAAAAATTAGCAAAATAGCCAAACTATTCGTCTTCCTTTAAAACATAACAAAAATAGAACAAAACGACACCACACCTTACACCATGGTTAGAAGGAGGTAGAAGTTTTGAGATGAAATATAAGAAAGAAAAGGATAGAAGACTAGCTCGCAAGCTAGTGAAAACCCTCATGTTTTGATTCAAAAATTATCACATGACACCCTCTAAAACTGCCACAAACAGCCCCAATAAATAGAGAAAAAAGGAAGCCCTAAAGACACCTAAACCACCACCCAAAACAGCCAACAAGAATAGGGGAAAGCCAACGGATAGCAGCAACAACTGAGCAACCAAAGTAAGGGGAACCAGGACAGCAAGGGAGCAGGAACCGAACAATCAAACAAGGGAGCCGAACAGCCAAGGAGTAGGAACCGAACAACCCAGCAAGGGAAACCGGAAAAAGCAGGGAGTAGAAATCGAAAAGCCACAACAAAAGGAACCGGCAAAGCCAAGGCTAAGTGGTGGGGGGGCAAGTGCTCAAATTCTTTCAGAAAAATGACTTTGGAGGCTAGCTACGTCAACAGCTTCACACCGTGCCCGGTCAAATAACTTCTCCAATATGATGGCATTATCACTCCTTACCTTGATTACAATCTGATGCAGAGCATCTTAACTAAATTGCTCCTTAGGCATATTTTAATTAGTTTGTTATGTGCTTTTTTACAAGTGCCTTCTAGAGTATTCTATTTAGCTTATATAAGCAAGTTTTGTAGTAGGGAAAACCCATTGAATGATATTATCCCCTTTTAAAAGCTTTGAAAGCTTCTCCTTCTTCCATGGATTGGGAAAACCCAAATTCTTCTTGCAGGTCTCATCTTCCGACGATCCACTACATCAGTTGGTATCAGAGCCAGGAGCTTTTGAAGATCGATGGACTGCGGAAGAGGGTCGGCTGTCGACGACGATCGAAGCCGCAAAACAAGATTGGCGGTCGACGACGATCGACGCCAAGGAAGGTGGGCTGTCGAGGATGCTCGAAGCCGGATCGCCTTCTACCAAGCTTAATCGAAGGAATCGCTCGATCAGGTAGACAGAAACCTTGATCGGATTCGCGAAAACCTTCGGGCAATAAGGAAGATGAGAATCGTCGGCAACCATACCGAGGTATTCTTCTTCTTCTTCGATCTCCTCGTCCGCTTCACCCAGACGTCATCAGTCCCGCCATTCTCCCACGGTCGTTGATGACTATGTTCCACTCGAACTTCCGCTCCGATGGCGTGATCCACCGCCGGAATACCCACCGCTCGAGCTTCCATTGCGATGGCGAAATCCTCCGCCTCCACAGATTACGTCGCCTCCGCAGATTAAATCAAATCCGAGCGTTCCACTTCCGCTGCATCACGCAAACAATGAACCCGCGCCTGGACACGAGCGCGATTCAATGCCTGACGACGGGCGCGATTCAGCGCCGGGCGACAAGCGCGATTCCGCGCCTAGCATATAACCCTGCACAGCTGATACTCCGATTCCATCTGACCACAACTTGCCCGTCCAGCCCACTCAACTCAACTCGCCGACAACAGCCGACCAGGCCCCCGCCGACCAGACTCCCGCACACCCAGCCGCCGATACTATCCCTTCGTTCGGTCTGAGTTCGACTCGATGGGCTTCTGAATCGGATTTGGAAGGCCATTCGGCATTTAGAACCGGCCGAAGCCTTATGCTTCACTCGTCGGAATCCGATGATCTCCCTTCTCTGCTGAAACCTTTGATGGACAGTCCGAGGCTCAATGCATCGGGTAAAGTTATTTTTCAGGGGCTCGAAAGAAGCTCAACACAGCCACTTGATCTTGGAGAAGCCACAGTAATGGCGGAAACAGCACACAAGGAAGACAAAGCTTCGGCATCCAATGGAAGAAAGAAGAGGCGTCGAGCCAAGAGTTTAAAAAATAAAGAGGAGGTGGTGAATCAGAGAATGACCCACGACATTGTCGTTGAACGCAGCCGGCGGAAGCAAATGAGCGAGTACCTTGCTCTGCTTTGATCTCTCATGCTCCCTCTTACGCACAAAGGGGCGACCAAGCCTCCAAAGCTCCACTCTCCGCTTTCTTATCGATTCCATGGTCTTCGACGTCGGCATCGTCCCCTAAAATACCGATGGCTGGGGTCCGCCGGACACCCCAGCGGTGCCCCACCGTCCTCGGCAACCAAACCTCCCTCGTCGGCAGCGACATTAAATACGTGAAAGAGCGTGAGAAGCTTCTTCAATTTCTTGATGTTCGTAAACAAATCAATTTCAGCTTCAGAAACCAACCAATCGCTCAAGGCGTCGATGCATTAGAGCGAGATGCTCCAAGCTTGTCAAAGTTGGGATCAAACTCCACCGCAGAGCTGCACCCAAAGACTGGACCAGGCGGGGAGCTTAAACCTGTTGCAATGCCATCGACCAGTGTGATGACCAGGTGGGAGATTGAGATGCCATCCATGATTGCCCGATCTATATTGATACTCTCTGATGCAGGGCGTGGAAAATATAGTGTTGTTTTCGTGTCCGGAAGCGGAAGCTCCATCATAGGAATTAGCTCGCCATACGCGCCTCAATGTGTTAATGGTGAAGATGAACACAGTGATATTTCAATATCAGAGGCTTCCTTTCTCTCGATATGTCATGATCTTCTTGCCTTTAGCATCCCTGAAATAAATATAAATGATGTAGAAGTGTATGGCAATGCTACTGGAGATTGTACTCACAGCATTTTCACTACAGGTGTGAAAATTTCTTGTCTAAATTTGATCGACAAAGCCACTCTAATGCAATGCCCCCAAGCTGTTCGACGTAATGTCAATGAAGGGTTTGACACCAAATTTGCTGGGCTTGGTGATAAGTATGTTGGTACTTCAATTATTGTAATGATACAAGCCAACATAGCAAAGGAAAATGCAGAAGATGATGGAACACGAAATACATTGATTAACATGCTTTTTGGAGGCTTGAAAGTGTGGTCTGGAAATCCTATCATGTTCTCAAGATATGACACAAGTATAAGTGAGATTACGGCGGATCGAACTACGTAGGAAGGAAGACATGCTAGTAATTTCTTCTTTGCTTTGTCTGCTTGCAACACTATGGTGCCTTTGGTTGTGCAGAAGTTGATAGATTATCAAGGAAAATCCCTTGACGAACTGACGTTGGTCTATGCAGTTGTTGCAGACAGTTTAGTAAAAGAAGTTGGAATAAATATTGAGAGCAAAATTTTTGACCCAGGGGGATTATTATCTCCCTTCCGACAACGCGTCTCGACGGAGTCGAGCCCTTTTTGACGCAAGGGGAGAATGATGCAGAACATCTTAACTAAATTGCTCCTTAGGCATGTTTTAATTAGTTTGTTATGTGCTTTCTACAAGTGCCTTCTAGAGTATTCTATTTAGCTTATATAAGCAAGTTTTGTAGTAGGAAAAACCCATTGAATGATATTATCCCCTTTTAAAAGCTTTGAAAGCTTCTCCTTCTTCTTCCCTGGATTGGGAAAACCCAAATCCTTCTTGCAGGTCGCATCTTCCGACGATCCACTACATCACAATCTGTTGATGCTCATTAATCATAAAATTTTTTTTGCACTCTATATTCTATAATCTTGCCATCTCTTCTTCCATATGTGCTCATCTTATATTGATACATTGAGATTTGGCTAATTATTCATCGGCAATGATGATTCTCAAACTGCTTTCATTTACTGTAACTAAAGAATGAGCTTCACAAAGTCATTGTGAAAGATCAACTTATAACCCCATTACTTCTTTGAAATTAAAACCAAGATCTACATCTTGATAATCGTCGGTTTCCCTCTCGACCTTAAAACCCCCTAAATGGAAGTTACTCTGTCAGGTTGTTCGTACAAAATACTTCGATATGCCACCATTAACCGTGGAAGAAGCTGTAAAGCAATTACAGAACGTGGATCATGACTTCTATGGCTTCCGAAATGATGAAACAGGTGAAGGAAATGCTTATCTTGTTGAGTTTTTAGACACTGTAGATTTTAATAAATCTTTGCTCCTGATCTTCGTATCTTATTTTTATTTCTATTAGGCGAGATAAACATTTTGTACAAAAGAAAAGATGGTGGCTATGGATTGATAATCCCCAAAGAGGATGGTAAGGAGCAAAGGGTTGAGCCGGTGGATGCACCTTCTGCAAAAGAAGCGTCGGTTTTGGATTAGATGAAGAGCTGACTCCAATTCACCTTATTCTGATGTTTTTTATTTTTATTTTATTATTTTTTTCTCCTTTTTTTGTCCCATGTTTTTCACCTTTGTGATGATCTGTAAAGTTGATAAAAGAGGCGTTGGTGTTGAATATGTTCATGATCCATCTTCTGGAGGGCTGTCAATATTTGACTGTCCCGAAAATCCGAACCGGGTCAAACCAAATCCGAACCGGGTCAAGTTCAAATTAGGGATTTTGACCCGTTTGTAGAACTTGATCGGGCTCGGATTGACCCGAAAATTCGAAATCAACCTGATACGACTTGTTTTTAATTGATTTAGGAGTTTTAAAATATTATTATGAAATAAATAAATTTTATTTTCAAAAAATAATAAATTATTTTTTCTCAAACTGAATTAAGTTTAGTTTATTTTAAATTAATTGAAGTAAATTTTATCTTAATTTGATTTAGATTTAAATAAATCAAATTAAATAAATTTTTTTTTTAGTAAAACATACTCAAAGCGGGTCGAGTTCTTGTCTAAAAAATCAACCTTTTATTGCAAAAATTGGTCAGGTTGGGTTGGGTTGGTCTGGGTTGGTCAGTGTCGGATTAATTTCAGGTTGAACTTGAACCCAATCTGTAATCCGATTTTGATAGCCCTCACGACTACTGTTCTGCATAATAAAGAGGTGTCTGTGTTTAAAAGAAAACTGACAAATTAAAAAGCCGTTGGAGTTAATTGAAAATCATAATTAAATAACCATCTTCTGCATAATAAACACCTCAAATTACAGACTTGGCAGCAATCAACAATCACTGATACATCTCCCTGCAAGCCGGAAACCTAGCCACCGCAACCGCCACAAGCGGCTTTTCCTTGGTCAAAGTAACACCAGATCTCTCCTTCAAATCCGTACCCTCGCCCTCGCTCACCCGCCACTCAAACAAATGCAACAAATTAGCCGCCACAAACGGCACCATTCGCTCCGCAAGCGGCAAACCGGCGCACTTCCGCCGCCCAGCACCGAACGGAAAGAACCCAAATCCACCTGCAATACTTTCCCCTTCCCCTCCAGGCAGGAATCGCTCAGGTCGAAACTCATGTGGTTTGTCCCACACCTCAGGGTTGTTCTGGATAGCCCAAACGTTGGTGATGACGCGAGCTCCGGCGGGGATGAGGTGACCGGCAATGGTGATGGGTCGGACGGGAACGCGAGGGACGAGCAGGGGAATTACTGAATGGAGGCGGAGGGTTTCTTTTATAAGGGAACGGAGGTATGGGAGATGGGGGATGTCGGATTCTTCCACGGCCAGTTTGCGGCCCACTACAGTGTCGAGTTCGTTGAGGGCCCGGCGATATGCGTCGGGCCGGTGTATCAGCTCCGCCATTAGCCATTCGATTGTCGTCCAGGCTCCGGTTGTTCCGCCGACCAGGAAATCCTACATGTTTGTATGTATGATTGTGAGAATTGGAAAATTAAATTTTTTTCCCAAAGTTCATGGCCTTTTTGTTTGTTGGAGGGTTTTGAAAAAATTACACAGCTTACTTTGATCTATTTAGGGTTCTTTTGTGCTTTTTAAAATACTTTTTTTTTGTACAATTTTTTCTTTTTGAATTTTAAATATTTATATTTTAGAAAGCGGTAAGAAAGCTGTCCTAAATAAAGCTCTAGTTGAGAGCTTTGGCTACCAATAAAAGATATTGAATTTGAAGTTTATGAATACGGTGTGTATGAGTTTATCTTAATTGACTCGAAAGTTTAAATAATAATAATAATAATAAAGAGTAAATATATCCTGATTTGGTGTCAGAATGAGATTCATATTTGTTAAGTTTAAACTGATATTAGTATTATATATGATTTCAAATAATCTCATTGTAAATTTAATGGATATTAATTCTATCTTAATTATGCAAATTTTTTTTCTGAGATTTGAATCCTCTAATTGTCAATTATTATATCAATTGGAGCATTTTTAAATTATAATATTGTAATGTAATGGATGGTTGACTATTTAAAGGAAATTATGTTATGGCGGTTCATTAATTTTCTTTTAAGTGTGACATGATATTAATTATATATTTGCTTTTATATATATATATATATATATGATTTTTTTGCATAAATTCTAGAGTTTCAAAAGAAATCATTCATATAACATAAATAATAGGTCTCCAAGGTTTTGTTAGGGATTATTTTCTTATTGATTTTTAAAATAGCTATGTAGTACAAAAATTTCTAGTTCAAAAAATTTTTGTACTAAAAAATTACTAGACTTTGGGATAATATTTTTTAACTAAAAAATTGCTTTAGAAAATGAAAAAAATGATATCAAACGATGCATAAATTGATTTTCAGATTCTGAAAAATAGAAAATTATACTGCTTGAGAAAATCTTATGATTGCTAGCAAACGAAAATCCAGTTTTCAAAAAAAATTATAAATTTATTTTAAATGTAAAAATAGTATTCTTGTTTTCCATGGTTATGGCAAATTTTATAAATTTTGACTTTAATATTAGCATCTAATTACATCTAATCGTATGATAACTTTTAAAAACTCATAATTTTAAAAATTAACACAAAATTATTGATTTTTGAGGGAAAAAAAAAATAGCCAAATAATATAACAGCATCACGATTAATGTCATGTCACATTTAATTACCCTTTTTAATCAAATAATTTAAAGTTTAGCACAGTTCTTAAAGAATGTTCGTAATATCCATCAGGTACTACATGCATTCTACGTTTTTTATTATTAGATCATTACCATTATCAAAGCCTTGAGCTGTATATTAGAGAGCTTAAACCTTTGATCCTCCCCATCTCTAATCTTCAAAAGCTTCGACAAAAAATCCTTCCCACTCTCACCTTCTTCATCTCCGGCCGCTCCGCATTCTCTCATTCTCTTCCTTTCCTCAATCATTTCCTCATAAACGCCGTCCATCCACGCCACTCTCTTCTTCATCCCTCTCTCAATACCCTGCAAATCGAGCCATGAAAGCAACGGCAAGTAATCCGACACATTCTGCCTCCCAAGAAGCTCCACCGTCTCCATCATCACCCTCCTGAATTCCACTCCCTTTTCTCTCCATTTCACACTCTGCTCTTCTCCACACAACATAGCCATGAGCATATTAAGCGAAACCTCAAAGCCCAACTCTCCAACATTAATGCTACTCTTACCTTGCTTCGCCCAAATCCCTCGCACGGCACGCTTCATCTCTCCTCGCCGGAGTTCCGCGGCGGCGTCGAGGCTCTTAGCGTTAACAAGCTCGTGTACAAACACTCTGCGAAGCATGCGCCAGGTGGGGCCGTAAGGGCAGCGAACGAGGTTTGAACCGCCGTAGGAGATGACCGTTGCGGCGATAGGCTGTTCGTGGTTGGAGAACTCGAGATCCTTTTCTGTGAAGATTTGTTTGGCGATTGTTGGGGAGCTGATGACAATCCAAAGCTTGGTGCCGAGGCGGAGGCGCATGAGGGGGCCGTAGGTAAGGGAGAGGTGGGCGAGGCGGTGGTGGAGGTTGGGGCGGAGGATTAGGGAGAGATTGCCGAGGAAAGGGAGGCCGGGAGGGCCGGGAGGCAGGGATTTGGTTTGTGAGAGCTTTATGGTAATGTGGTGTGCGATGGTGAGGAGGAGGGCGATGAAGAGAGTAATGAAGGGAATGGTGGCTGCGAGGAATTGAATGGAGAAGGAGGACCCGAGTGCAGGGGAGTTTGAAGAAGGAGAAGCCATTGTTGTTTGTGGCTGGATTTGACGATGGGGAAGTGGACTGACTGGTTATTTATAGGAAGGATTGGGGGAGCGAAGCGAGCTAGTTCTATGTGCTGTGGCGGATTAGGACGTGTTATGTTTGATTATGTTCAATATGGTAAATGGTTTCTATTTGTATTATTTTTATTTTATGATTCTATTAGGCTTTCTAATAATTTTGATGGTATGTAGAAAGAGAGTGGTTGTTATGAATATGGTGATGACAACGGACAATATCGAGTATTTATCTGACTATATGGGATCAACTATATAAATCCTTTTTCTCTATTGTGTTTTGTTATCAGTTAAATTCTCATTGCCATGTCTCTAGCAATCAGAGCCTCCAATAAAATTATTGGTTGGACCTAATAACTGGAGAGATTACTACGTGTGAGTCCGGATACATAGAACTGTTCGATTTTATGACTTTGAACAGTAGAAATATAGCTATTATTTACCACTGTACTTTTACTATTCATTTCTGCATTTTTAGTTTTCTCAGTCACAAAACTGAATGATTCTTTATGTTCGAACTCCACACGTAATAATCTCTTCAAAAACTGATTTGATATATGCCAAGAGAAATAACATAAAAAGATGACGAACCTCATTGCCTTATTTTATGAGTGTAAATTGAAGTGATAAGAAGCTAGGGAATGCCAATGTGATAGTTCTATTCCTTCGACGGGACAATTGCTACTTTTCTTCACCGAATATTTATTATTGCATTGGACAATGGAGGAGATCATGATGGTCCATACCCTAAACCCTAAATCAACAGCAGCCATGAATCCTCTTACTTTTCAATATTGCTAGCTAACTGATAGCTCCTTCTAAACCCCCCAATGATCGATGTCATATTCAAAATCGTTTAAATTGATTGTCAATTAGTTTTGGTAAGAAAATTTATGATTAGTATTTCATTTTCTAAATCTTTTATGATGGCATTTTCTGATAATGTTTCTTTGTCATCTTCTCTCAATTTCAATATTATCCTGATCAAAGTAAGCTTTTGAGAATCATAAATATATAAATGACTAAAATTAAATCTTAATTTCTTATTTTAATTTAATTTGATATGGTGAATTCAATCGTAGCCATTCGATGTTCAGATTTTTAAAAACTTCGAAGCCTACCGGTTATCGAAAAATCATTAATTATTATAAACTAATATTAATATTGTATAAACAAAACTATCTCGCAATGTTATATAATTAAAATGCTTCATTTTATTAATTAAGTTTGTACTAAAATAAAAAAATTTGTACTAAAACTCTGTTTTAGAAAACATAAAAAAGTCGTCCCAAACGAACCTTTAATTTCATTTGGGATGACTTTTTTTCTATTTCTTAAAACAGCTTTCTAGTGAAAAAAATAAAAGTTTTGTACTAAAAAACTGTTTTAAGAAGCAAAAAGAAAGTTATCCCAAACGAAGTCTTAAAGTTGTAGAAGTTTGATTTTTTTTTAACTAGAGAGGGTAAAATTACAAAATTGGGAGCACTTAATTGATCTCTTGTAGTTTTAGCAAATATGTAAGATAAGTAGTAGATGTATGCTGATAGGATATTGATAATATCACTCATACATCAATTTTCAAACGACAATAGTCAAATGATGGTCGTTAGATGATCGTAGTCAAACGATAGTGATTAGATAACAACAGTTGGACATTAATCGTCCCATGATGGAGAACAAATTATGACAGACGGGCAGCTATGTTTAGATGCTAATAGTCGAACGAGATCAATTGGACAATGACAGTTGTGATTGGTAGTGATTAATAGTGCCCAACATTTGGTAGAGCTTTAGAGTTCTTCAAAATTTAAAATCTCTAAATTCAAGTTTAGCATTCCCTTATGTTAAAAATAAGATTCTATTTTTTTTTTTTTAATAGTGAAACATTGATAAATTCAAAGCAAAACATATCATCATGCATCGCATGCAATTACTGATCATATGGAAGCATGTTCAGCAAGTCGCTAATACCTTCCCTCTTCATAGCACTCACCACCCTGCTGATTATTATAGTATTGTTGCGTCATGGAGTATTCGCGACGGTAGAGAAATATATAGTTTAACGTCTCAACTTTGTACGAAGATCCAACATGCACACATATAAAAAAAGAGGGTGAAGTATTTAAAGGAGACACCAAGATTTTTACGTAGAAAAACCCTAAAAAGGGGGAAAAATCACGGGGCCTTGCCCAGTTTGATTAATTAAATTCGCTAGTATTTATAGTTAATTACAAATGAGGCCCTTTCTTGGGGGAAGACTTTAGCTTGATGTATATCATATAGAGTACATTACATGATATGAATACAAAAAATCCCAGTTGATGTGCTTGTTTGGTCAGAAGGACCATAGTCGGTGGGCGACGTAAGTCAAAAGGATCGTGGTCGGCTGGCGACGGAGGTCATAAAGACCATTTTCTGACGACGGAGGTCGAAAGGATGACATAAAGGAGAAGTCCAGCGTCAAATAGAAGCCCGATAAATGACTGACGACATGCAGAAGTCCAGGCTCCAGGGGCGGAACCAGCTTCAATTTTGAGGGGGGGCAAATACAACAAAAAAATAATTAAATATTAAAAAAATAATATTATATATCTATATATTACAAAAAGTTCTTTAAAAAAAATTAAGCAAGAAAAATAATGAAAAAAATGTGTAATTAAACTGTCATGAAAAACATAAAAGAGAATATTAAAATTAAATGTGAAGAAATATATAGATATTTTAGGGCAAGTTAGGACAAAAGAG